GTTGCGCAGGATGCCCGCCTCGTTGAGATCCCCCAGACGGATCATGTCCTCCACGCCGTGGACCGATGTGGGGTGCATGGGCTTGATGTGCGTGGCGTTCTGCGGGGAGATCCAGTGTTCCTGCGGGGGGGGGGGTGCAGGTGGCCAACGTCAGCTGCTCTCCTGGGGCCAGGCTGTGCAGGGGAACGGACGGGGAGGCCGGGAGCGCCAGATCTGTGCGCCCATGGTAAAGGCCTCATCCTCTCTCGTGGCCGAACACTACCAGTTCTAACAGGTTTGAGTCAGGATGGTACTGCCTGCCCCCACTCCCCCACGTCTCCTCTTAGCAGATTCTCTCTGCAGATCAAAGAGGTGGGCAGGGCAGGGACTTTGGCTGCCCACCTGGGCGTTATCATGAAGGGGATCAGAGTTCTCCAGTCACTTTGCAGGATGGAGTGAAAAGTGTTATAACTGGAGTTGGACAGACTCGGCTTCAAATCCAAGGATCGGATAAATTACATAAAAAGTAACTCCAGATAGTGCCACGAATAACCCAACAGGTGTTGCGTGTGATGGTGGATTAGGGAGGCAGCTGCTTTAGGTAGGGTGGTTGGGGACCCCCTCTCCCAGGAGGTGACATTTGACCCGAATGAAGTCGAAAGAGACCACTGCAAGAAGATGAGGCAGGGTATATTGGGGGGAGAGTTCCAGGTCCAAGGAATAGCAAAAAAAACAACACCTCAGGCTGGCAAAGACTGGACGTGTTCAAGGGAAAATCAGAAAACAGGGCAGTAGAAATGGCCTGGGGACTCACTGGGATATATTTCACAGAGCTTGCTGGTGACATGTGTGAAGCAAGAGGTGAACTTTCAGTACTGGTGAGCTGAAGCAGAAACAGTGCGGGCTGTAAGTTGCCTGTCTGGCTTCCCCTACACCCCCTGTGATATCCCCCGCTGCCCCCAGGTAGCAGATGGGCGAGCATCTGGGAAGGGCACTGGCTCTTTCAACAAGTTGGCAAATCCCGGTGTCCCCAGGGCGCTGGGAGCCTCCTTGCCCCCGGGGCCTCCAGCACCATCTCAAGATTCCAGACTCTCAGGGAAGTGAGAATCTGACCTGTGCTCTACGGTGTGGCCACAGCCCTCCCATTCCCAAATGCCAGGACCTGGTGGCCTCAAAACCAGTCAGGACCTGCTTTTCAGGGAAGAAAGGGGAACTTTTTGCTGCCTCCCAGCTCAAGCCCTCAGACCTGCTGAATAGATGTGCTGCAAAGGTCACGTCCTCCCCCATCTTCTCCTCCTGCAGTCCCTGCTGGCATAGCCAACCCCAAAAGCTAGACACTAGCAGGAATCTGGGCATCAGGCCCTCCCTGCACTCCTGATCCAACTGGCCACCCAGCCCTGCCCATCCAACCCTCTACAGGGCTGCTGAGTGGGCAGTATCCTCCTCGACACCCTAGAGCTCACACCCTGCCTGGCCCCGGCCTCTTGCTGTCCTCCCCTCACCTCCAGCCCTCCCTCTAGTCCCTCACCCACCATGGACTTTCTCAGGCACCAACCCTGTCATTCTGGGGCTCTACTGACTGCCCCCAGGTGCCTCAGCCTGACATTCAAGAGCCAGGGACTCCTAGCTTCTATCCCAGCTACCCCCTGTACCTCTGAGCCAGGGAAGGTTGAGCTCCACATCCCCAAAGGGCTCTGTGACTTAACTCTGTTTCCTCTGCCTTCTTTCTCCTCAGCCTTCAGGGCTCAGCTCAGAGGTTTTCCAGTGTCTGAAGCCTCATTGACCGTGCTGCCCACCCTCACATGCTCCACACGTGCCACTCCCCGCCATCCACCTCAGGCCACAGAGCCTCACACAGAGGTTGGGCACAAATGGTGTGGCAGGGAGCTTCTGATGGGACAGGTGGTTGGGTGGTGACTGAGTGGGCCCAGGCCTGAATTAGAGGCAGAGGTCGTAGTCATGGAGAGACCCCAGAAGGTCTCTACTTCAGCCTCCTCTCTTTACATGAGAAAACAGGCTTGGAGGAGGGCGGTGGCCTTTACAGGCCCTTGGAGAGACCAGGGACAGGACCAGAGCCCACCACTCCAGTTTCCTGGTCATTCCACAGCACTTGCTGGGCAGAAGCATTTAAATCCAGGTCAGGCCCTCACACCACCCTCCTGAGAGTGGTGAGGTCAGAGAATCCACCTGGACTTTCCAATCCCACATGGAACATTCCCCTCTCCCAAGCACCCTATTTCATGATACAAGCTGATACGGTTGGAAAATTCCCTCTGTCTGGTGCCCACTTCCTGCCCAAGTCCTAGGCCTGGTATGGGCCAGGGGTGAGAGGGCTCCTGGGCAGGCTGTCTGTCTTCCCCACTTGGCCCAACCTTGGGGTCAAGTGACAGCTCATCACTGAGGTCAAAGTGATGAGTGACCCCAGTCTCCCTGCACGAGCCTGAAACCCTGTGCATGTGCCATTTTCCTCATGAGCCTCCACCATCTCAGCCACAGAATAGGAATGTTAGTCCAACATTCCCTAGAAGAGGAATGGGAATAACACTCCCTGGAGTAGGAACAGGAATAATACTCCCTAGAACAGGAATGGGAATAACACTCCCTGGAGTAGGAATGGGAATATAACACTCTCTAGAGTAAGAATGGGAATAATGCTCCCTGGAGGAGGAACGGAATAGCGCTCCTTGGAGCAGAAATGGAAATAACGCTCCCTAGAACAGGAACGGGAATGACACTCCCTGGAGTAGGAATGGGAATAACACTCCCTGGAATGGGAATGGGAAAACATTCTCTGGAGTAGGAATGGGAGTAACTCTCCCTGGAATAGAAATGAGAAAAACACTTCCTGGAGTACAAACGGGAATTACACTCCCTGGAGTAGGAATGGGAATAACACCCCCTAGAGTAGAAATGGGAATAATACTCCCTTCTTCTGGGGATGCCAGAGCTACAGTAACAGTCAACCTTTGTTGACAGTTTTCTCCTGCCAGGTCTGTCTAGTGCTGGTACCTGGTAAATGCTCAGCTCAGTGCTGGGTGTTGCTACTCTAATGCCTCTTGTTTTACACAGAAGACGTGTACTCTCATTTGGTCCTCAGAACGTCCATCCCAGGACAGAGAATGACTGATCTCTTTTTACAGTGACAAGTCAAACTCAAAGGTAAAGTGACTTGTTGTGTTAAGGTGAGCTGAGCTGCGCCCACCCTTTCCTGCGTGGGAGGACTCCCAACTGAGGCCAGCACTCCTCAGGTCAGTGTCCACACATGGAACATTCCCCTCTCCCAAGCACCCTATTTCATGATACAAGCTGATACGGTTGGAAAATTCCCTCTGTCTGGTGCCCACTTGAGGTTCCTGAGCCCTCCCCTCGCCCCGAGCAAAGCCTCTGTTCCAAAGTGTAACCAGGACAGTAGCTGAGGCCAGCCCCCAAGGAACGCCAGCAAGCGGGGGAGGGGAACACAGTCAGTTTCAGAGACTGGGAACACAGTCAATTTCAGAGACTGGGGATGCTCTTTCAGGAAAGAGCCGGCCTGGGACTGAGCTCAGAGAGACAGGGACAATGTGCTCTGTAGAGGAGGGAAGGAGGGGTGTATCTGGCAACAGGAATGACTTGGACAAAGCCAGGGCATTAGGATTCCAGGGAGGACTGAACCATAAGCTTTCGTTTATTCACTGGGCAAGTCTTTGCCAAGAGCCTTCCCTGGGCAGACCCTCTGTTGAGCTCTGGGGAACCAGATGGGACTTGCCCAGTCCCTACTTTCAAGCTGCTGAAAGTCTATGAGACGACAGAGGAGTAAAAGATGACAGCCTAGAGTGGGGGTGTAGGGAGGAAAAGCAGGTGGGAAAGAGGGGGCCAGGTGCCCAATGCCACTGATGCAAGCCCAGACTCCCTGACTGCCCCCACCCCTCGGTCATCCCCTCCCTTCCTGCAGCCCCCACTCTCAGGGCCTTTGGGATCCGGTGACGCAGAGTTACGGGATACCATCTGACATGCAACATGACCCAGGTGAAACTCAAGCCCGCAGGCAGAGTCCCTGGTCCCCACCCTGGGGGCTCCAAGCAGCACCATGGGCCTGTCTGTGCGGCCAGCCAAGCCTGTGCATCCCCTTCTATGGCTGCAGTCTCACAGGGGTTCCTTAGAACCCCAGGAATGATGTTGCAGGCACTTGGGTTCTAAAGCCCAGGGAACAAAAGTGTGGCTGGCAGAACCTGAGCCCCAAAGCTGCCCTTGAGATGATGTCGTCAGGGGAAATGAATGGATAGAGGCCAGAGGTCCTGGGTTCTCCCAGCATCATCACTTACTAGGTGTATGACTAGCAATATGGTCCCTCTGTGCCTCAGTTTCCCCATGGAGTAACAGTTGCTGCCTCCTTACCTTTCACAGACACCATGAGGATCCAAAGATAGGACTTGGGTCAAAGTGTTTTGCAAACCCATCCTCTTTTTTCTGAATCTTCCCCCTTAGGAGGCTAAGACAGGGCCCTCGTCTAATTTCCTCGTTCCCAGCCCCGGGTACACCACTGGGCACAACCCACGTTATGGTGAAGCAGAATCTCCCTGGGCTCTTCATGTCCCTACTGAGCTGCAGCCTTGTGCTCTGCACCCCATCACACATTCCCCGTGCCACCCAAACAGGCTATTCATGGTCACACATGCTCAGAGCTCCCAGGGCTTTCCCCAGGGCCCTCACAAGGGTCACCCACCTTCTCCCAGCATCCCCTGACATCAGACCCTTCCCTCCCTCCCCGAGACCCCACTATCACTACCTATCAAACTTACACTTCCTGTGTCACTTTCCTTCTGGCCACAAGAGATAAAGGGTTAATCTGTGAGATCAATTTCCAGGGCAGCGCCAAGGTGGACAATGACTTCATATGATGCTGGAACCCAACAGCAAGACTCTAGGTGTTTCCAGACCCACTTCAATTTTCAGATAGACACTAACTTTGCTGGGGTGTTCTACACTTATGAGCTTACTTAGGGGTCAACCACCCTGTGAGGTGGTTGTTACTACCTCCATTTTACAGAAGAGGACACTGAGGCCCAGAAGGGAAGGAGACTTGGCCAAGGTCACATGGCTAAAAAGTGGACAAGACAGGACTTGAATCCAGTCTGTCTGACTCCAAAGCACCCCTGTGCCTAAGGCACCCCAAGACTGGTGTCACCCCTGCACACATAACCCCCACCACACGCAGACGTCTCTAATGTCAGGCAGAGTGGACTCAAGTGCTATGCACCCTCCATCCCCATCACACACACACACACACACACACACACACACACACACACACACACATCTCTAATGCCAGGCAGAGTGGACAGAAGTGTTTGTGGAAATAGGTCAAGGAGGCTGGGTCAGAAGGGGAGGTTCCCTCTTGCTGGGTCCATGGAGGCAGACGTGGGGGCGCGGGCACTGCCTCCAACCCCTGAGGCAGGTCACAGCCTGGCCCTGGCCTCGAGGGCCTGCCAGCCCGTGTCCTCCCAAGGCATGGGTGGGAGGAGGGAGGGGACTACTCACGTTGCCTTCATCGTCCACCACCTGGATTTGCCCAGAGTCGCAGAGTTTCACCACCGCCCCGATGGGCACGTCGAATTCCTGCCCTGATCTCAGGTCCATCCACACATAGTCCCCCTGTGGGTGAGAGACAGTCCCAGGCCAGGTGAGCAGGGAGGGGGCTCAGCACGTCTTCCAGGCAGCCCTATGTCCCATCCCACCAGAACCAGAGGCTCCAGGGTCAACCACAAAAGAGGCAAGGAAAGGAGCCTTGTGGAGCCAGGCCCCGGGCTGGGCACCTATGCAATGGCATCACTCCCTGCTCTGTAGCAGACATCTTCCCATTCTACAGATGAGTGAGCAGACATTCAAAGAGAGAAAGAGCCCAGGCCACACAGCCAGGCAACCTCAACCCAGGCCTGTCAAAGCCCGGCTCTCCCCACAGCTCCACACTGTACATGGGTATGACAGACTCACTGAGATCTAGGCAGAAACACCAGACCACTTCCTCTCTGTCCAAAATGAGGTGACACCAGAGGACACCCAGTCTGTGGGTGAACATTGCAGGTGTGTCGTCATTGTGATGGGTTCCTCGCAGGGACACCACTCCATGCTGGGCCCTGTGATAAGAGTTCAGCCACACTATCTCCTGACAAGGGGAGGATGTCACTTTTGTGTCCCCTGCAACATGTGGCCCAGCACCTGGCTCGCATCACACACCCAGTAAGGACTCAGGAAAGTCAAATCTAAAACTCAAGAGTCAGAGAAATGGACTTAGAACACCCACATTCAGTGCTGATGTATTCAACAAACATGTATTGAGCATCTACTGAGTATAAAGCACTGATTAATCTAAATGTTGGGATTGAGCTGTGACTATGGAGCCTATATTTTAGTCAGAGGAGACAAACAACTGAGCACACGATCACTTTGGTGAGTGGTCTGAAGGGAAAAGCACGCCAAATGGTGGAGAAAGACAGAACCAGCCAACATTAGACCCAGCCAAGGGGGCCACCTGAAAGAGTGACACCTGAGGGGTGAGAAGCAGTCAGCCAAGGAAAGAGCAGGGGATAGTCGTCTGGGCAGAGGAGATGGCAAATGAGGCAGGGGGGAACAGCGAGGAGGAAGAAACGCCAGGACCTGAGGAGAGAGGGTGAGGTCAGAGAGCTGGGCAACGTCCAGAACACACAGGCCCTTGCTGGCCTTGGGATAACTGCTGGGATTTCATTCTCATCCTAATAAAAGTATACTTTGTGAGGTCACTCCCAAACTCCCCAGGAGGGTGGGTATGGGTGAACTTAGACGTTCTAGTAAAAATCATAGCAAGTAGCAATTAAAAACGGAACAGCTGATAAAAAGGATTCACAGTGAAGTCAATCCGTGGTTATGGCCCAGTGGAAACAGCTCTAGCCGTAAGTCAGGAGGCCAAGTTCCAGGTCCTGCTCTGCCTTGGGTGGGTCACTGTGTTTCACCCTCGTCCTGCACCCATCAGAACCAACTGCAGTCACGTGTCGCTTAGCAACAAAGACACATTCTGAGAAATGCATAGTTAGATGATCTTTGTCGCTGTGTGAACATCATAGAGTCATAGCGTGTGCTTGCACACACCTAGACGGTCCAGCCCACTGCACACCTCGGCTACCCGGTACCGCCTATTGCTTGTAGGCTACAAACCTGTGTGCAGCATCTTGCTGTACTGAATGCCATAGGCAATTGTAGCACACTGGTAAGTATTTGTGTATCTAAACATAGAAAAGTGCAAAGATTTTTTTTTAATGGCACGCCCTTATAGAACTTGTTTTTGTACTTGTATTTGTGTATCTAAAGATATCTAAACACAGACAAGGTCCGGGAAAAAAAGAGATATTATACTCGTATGGGAGCACTGTTGTCTATGTGGCCCATCATTGACCAAAACTCGTCACGCATGACTGTATCTTTCAGCTGCAGCTGCCACTGGGGGCCCCCTCTTCACATGAATGGGAGGTTGGCGCGTGTTAGAGTCAGGCTAGTCCCAAATCCAAGCTTCTGCTCAGAAAAAGTAAGGAAACTCGGAGAGGCCCGGGAGGGAAAGAGATTTTGTTTACTGCGCATCCACTGGGGCTTCCCATCAACCGCCCCACTGAATCTTCACAACTGCTTGAGACCCAAGCCCCAGCTGTGCTTCCTGTCACACTACCACCCCCTCTAAGTGCCAGTCACCTGCCCACTCTCACCTTTCCACCAAGTGGACACCCACCTGTCTGTGGTGACCCCAGTCAAGCATCAACACCTTCCCTGGCTCCTCCCCACCTCTTCTCTCCCCTTTCACCTCCTCCCCAGCCCCTGCCAGAGTCCATGGGTTCATTCAGCCTGCAGTGACGAGACGGTTCCCGAGGCTGTCCCTGGGGACAGGCAGAGGGCCCAGGGCAGCCTGCGCTGCAGGAAGATGGGTGGGGGCAGACACTGGCAGGCGCCAGGTCACACAGAGCCTTGGAAGCCACAGAAGGACTTTGATTTTCTTTTTAGTGTGGCAAGAAGCCGCTGGAGAATTGCATGAGGGGTTTACATTTTCAAATTTCACTCTGATCACAGTGTAAAGAATGGAGTCATCTCTCGGCCTCCACAGCCCCGGCTTCCCCCTGACAGCTGCCCTCGCTGGGTTTGCTCCGTTCCCCACATCCTGGAGCTCCTGAGGGCAGGAATGGGTCTGAGTCTTTCCTCTGTCGCCAAGCACAGAGCAGGCCTCAGGGAGAGAGAGGAGAGGAAAGCAGGTGTGAGAGCAGGTGGGGCACTGATGAGCAGAAGTGCGTGTACAGACGGGAGCCGGAGCATTCCTGCAGCTGACCACCTCACAGAACCTCACGAGTCTTAGGCAGATGGTGCTGTCTCCACTTTCTCCCTACAGATGCCAAGAAACATGCCCAAGATCACATAGCTGTTTTTGTTTTGTGTTTGCTTTGAGTCAGAGTCTCACTCTATTGCCCAGGCTGGAGTGCAGTGGCACGCTCACAGGCTCACAGCCACTGCAGTGTTGACCCACTGGGCTCAGACGATCCTTCCACCTCAGCCCTCCAAGTAGCCAGAACTACAGGCACATGCTACCATGCCTGGTTAGTTTTTGTGATTGATTGCAGAGACAAGGCTGGTCTCAAACCCCCTGGCTCAGGCAATCCTCTTGCCTCGGCCTCACAAAGTGCTAGGATTACAGGCTTGAGCCACCCCGCCCAGCACACAACTGTTTTGACTGAAGCCCAGGCCTGACAACCCCCAAGTCCAGGGTTCTTTCCTGACAGTCCATGGGCCCAGCTCCAAAACCAGTTGGTAAGCAAAATAGGAAGCATTGATAGTATCTTTGGCCCTAGATGGCTCGTGGACCCAAAAGGCAACTGGAAACTTAGGCTGAGAACAGCTGGAAGGTGGAGGTTCCTCTGAGTCACCTGTATCCCCGGCACAGAAAATAATTGTCTCCCACTGAGAGAACCTTCACATGAGAAGGAAGTAGAGGCTCAGAGAGGCTAAGTGAGGTGCTCAGAGTCACACAACAAGACAAAGTGACTAGAGTTCTTCTGAGGACTGCCACCAGGAGGGGTGGTGACTTAACTATCTCTGCTCTAGCTTGGAGCTTGAGGAGTTTCCAGTGGCAGGTGAGAAGCTTTAGGCACTGGCCTGCGAACCTCTGAGAGGGAACATTCCTGTGGTTTCAGGGAAAGTTCTTGAAGCATCAGAATTCAGGCAGGTTGTAAGGATTCTCACTTTACCGCTGAAGAAACTGAGGCCCAGAGAGAGAATGGAATCTGGCCACACAGTCCCTCATGAAATCAGGGACTGATAAGATAGTGAGCATCTGAAGGGCCAAAAACAGGTTGGGTCAGGAGTCAGTGTTGGGTGAGAAAAGGGAGGGAGGGAGGGAGGAAGCCATGGAAGAAGGTGAAGCTTCACTGAGAGGCAGGAGGAGGGCGGCCAGGAAAGGGGACCTGGGCTCCAGGTCTAACGGCCCCATCCCTATCTCTAGGCCCCAGGCAGTCTATGACTGCCCCTGGTCACATTCTTACCATCACTGCCAAGTGACAACCTTACATACAGTGAGGGGCACCTCACTTGGCCTCAGCTTGAATGGAAGATCCCATCTGTGGCAGGCCACACGCCTCCATGTGGCTGTGTAACTTGGGGCAAGTCCCAACTTCTCTGCTATCAAATGAGTGGCTCGAGCAGAGGGTCTCCCAGGCCCCACTAGCCACGCAGACTCCCAGCCCCGGAGTGGTGACCTCCTAGAATGGGTCCATCCAAATATTCTCCAGGGTACCCCAAAACCCTCCTCCGGGGAAAACCACAGCGAACACGTAGTGGGGAGATCAAGGGTCTGGTTCTGTTTCTGCCACTAATGCTTGTGTCCATCACTCTAGGCCTCAGTTTTCACCACCTTAAAAAGGAAGGAGTCAGTGCAAGTGACGATGAGGAGCTGTGCAAAGGTAGGTTGTCCCTGCCGTCGCCCACCTTCCTCCCAGGGTTCAAGCTGGTTTCAGATCAATCCTAGCCATTCCCCACCGGGCCTTAGGCCTTTCTGCCTCTTCCTTCTCCTTGGATCAGGCCTGCTTGTGGAAGGAAAAGGAGTCTGCCCTCTCGCTTATCTTCATAATCACTCTGGGACACGGATTTATCACCCCATTTTGCCAGCGCCCAGAGAGGGAATCCGTGGGCCCGCTTTCCTTCCACAGGCTGCTCAGTCAGGCCCCTTTGCTTCTGGCTCTGGACCCCGGCAAACGCGGGCAGCCCCTGCTGAGACCTGATCCCCCACCCCC